GGATACACAGACAGTACAGGGGAGCAGTGTAGCAGCTGTGGACCTGTGTGTTGCCAGTGTGCCAGCTGACTGCCCAGGCTCCTGGCTAGCTAACCTAGCCAGCCAGTCTGAAACATACACAGTCCCATTGTTGCCTTCTCAACCTTTCCTGACATTTACGCCTCGGGTTGAGAGGATGTCACACAGCATCGCGCAGCAGGCGTGTTATTAAGATACAACTACTTACTCTCCGTTTACCTCTGCGAAAGGCATCGTTTAGTACGTCGCCATGGTTTAAAACGGACAGATTTTCTCCCGTTGCCCTGCGCTGCCGAATCACTGCTGCTGCTGTCTGCGGCAGCAACTTTCGGCGCATGCGCAGTACCTGGGACAGTTCCAGACTGCGCCGTGCGCTGCGCAGGACGGACGAGCGGTTTAAAGGTACAGGCAGGGGGAGGTTTAATTGGAGGGATAAATATTAGCACGAGAGTGGGAGGTGAAATTAGTGAAATAACACAAAGTAGATGTTTAATCACAGTGTTTACTGTATGATTTCTAACTACATTAAAACTCTTGTTTAGCTGTCCTCTATTGTCTGACAGCACCCATACAGAAATATATGACACATATGTCCCTATATATAAGAGTGATGTGGACATATATGTCCCCTTATAGGGGACATATATACATCCTCTGGATATATGAAGATATAAGTTTACAACATATGTGAAATACCCATATATTTTTATTTGGTGTAACATGTGAGCATATATGTTAATAATATATATTTAATTTTTATATGCAAGTTTATTTAAGCAACTTATATATTAAAATTCAATATGTTTATTTATGTGTTTCTTTATTAATTTCTTATTAATTCTGAACATGTCTATCTTCTCATTCTGGGAACGTGGTCTCAGACTTTTGGACTCAACTGTTTATAATATCAACATATACTGACAGGCTTTGGGATGGATATATATTTAAGTAACATAGGATACATAAACATATATATTTCATATTTGTAACATATGTCAACATATGAAATTGTTCCAATTTCTAATAGGTTTCATTTATAATTTTTACATATGTGTTTTATTTTTTTATTTCATGTATGAAAATTAAAAATATGTACATACTATACATTACATTTGTGTGTGGGCAGGGTTGGTTAACAAGCTTTGTAGGAAAAGCTATTGAAATGTAAACAATAATATTTAATGGGGGTGTGGTGGCTCAGTTGTAATGTGACCAGTGGTGAAAACTAAACTAACCCTCAGTCAAATACTGTATTTAAGTACAACTCTGATGTACTTAAATTGAGTACTTTTTTTTGTATCTTTTTCTCTACTACATTTATTTGACAGCAGTTTGAAATTAAGATTTTATCAACAAAACATTTAATCAGTGTATATGATACATTTATAGATATGATATCGACTCCACCACGACCAGACATTAAAAATCTGCGTACATGTTAATGAACCAATAATAATAATCATGATCCCATAATCTAACATTTACACATTTTGAAAGGGTGGATAGTAATACTTATATGCTTATGCTTATTTATTTGAATGCAGGAATTATATTTATATATTTGACCTGAATATTTCATCTATGACTGAATGTAACTGAAAGTGTGTTGTGGGCACCACGAGCCCTCAGAGCAGCTTCAGTGCTCCTTGTGCAAAGATTCTCCAACATGACTGAGGATGTGTGACTTCAGTTTTGATGATGATGGTATAGAGAGCGTTGTTTAACATCTCTCTCTAAAATATCTCATCGGTGTTCAGATGGGTTGAGATCAAGTGACTGTGAAGGCCACAGCATATGATTCACATCATTTTCACACTCATCAAGTCATTCAGTCAGTCATGGTGCTCTGAATGGGAGCATCTGCATAAGTGAGGTTTGTACACTAAAATATTCAGGTTCTTTGTTTTTGTTTTTTTTGGACTGCCTGGAAAGTAAAGGCGAGCCATAAACCTCTATATTACTTCATTGATCTTAATGTTGTTCGTACACCAGAACGTGAAGGCTAATTGACTTAAATCACTACGCCACAGCTGTATGCAGTGTTGTCACGAGGGTGGGATGTTGAGACTACACACATTCAGCTCTGTTGCTTTGCACTGCTCAAGTTGGTTTTTGGATCTTTAGCAACTAAAATGGACTCTGTAAGTTTGGCTCTATAACATGAGGGGTATTATGTGTATGTGTGAACAGGTTGAATCTGAAAAACTCAGAGATTCAAGAGGACACACAGATCTCTACCGCACTCGGTTTGTCATTGATAATCATTATTTCATGCATCATTGTCTTCAGTTTACCTTTCAAAAATCCAGCTTGTTTCTGCATCTTAGTGGCTCAAATGTAACACATATTTGGGCAAAACTTGCACAAGATTTGCCTTGAGTTGGATTGTGTGTCACTGAGCTCTTCACATATTGTATTATGCATCTTGCTGGGAAGATTAAATCCAGTGAGAAGACTCCACGGTCAATAGTGTCACATGCTTTGTGATTTGATGAAAGGTTCTATTTGTGCAGCCTGATGTGTATAGCTCCCTAATCAAAGACTTATATTTCTGTGACAACTAAAATAAATTACTCCATTACACTCGCCCACCTGCCCTCTCCACAGTATTGATACCATTTTATTACCAGAGAGAGACAGATGGACAAAACTGAAGACTGCGGCGAGTTATGGGAATGTGTGCTCACGGCCTCGTAGTGTCATGTCAGCTTAGAGCCTGCACAAAGACAATTAAAAAAAAAAGATGATTAGAGGGAAATGCACACATGTTCGACTCCACAAACATCTCTGAAACACAGCGCTGCGAAGGGATAACGCCACGGTCTGGGTTCCAGTATGGACCGGGCCTATTACAATACTCTAGCCAATTTAGGCCTGCAAGCCTCAATTCCCCCATCAGCAAGTGAAAGAGGAGAGAATTTGGTCTGAAAGCCCAATCACACACAGCGCTCTGAGTTCAGCAGGTGGGGAAGTAGCAGCAGCAGGCTCCATCAGGCAATAATACAAAGTTAATGATGCAGAATGGTGTCTTTCTCCATACCAAAGAAGACGTCAATACAGGATGTTTAAGAACGCTGTTCCTAATTACGCTTTTTAAATTCACCACTGACGTGACTGATGATTTCAAAGGGAGGCATTATTGATCCACTTCACAGACAAGTCCCATCGATTGCAAGTCTAGAATGAATAAAAGTTTTTTTTCTCCCTTTATCTCCCCCACTGAGAGAGAGATTGTACAATCAGAACATCAGTGTGACCTATATGGGTAGTTTGGGAGCTAAATCACCTCTTTTAAAAAAGCAGCCCGAACGAGAACATATAGAGCAGCGATTGCTGAATCGAGGGACCTTGGGGGACCTTCAGGGCATCACATAACAGTTAAATCTGCTGCTTTCTCATTTATCAGATGTGGAAATTCATCCATCCATTCATTAATCTGCGGGATCTTTTGCAAATAACCTATCTGCGTTGGGAGTTCTCAGCATGAGAAAGTTCAGGAGCAGCTGTTTTATAGACAGTCGGCCAGCTGTGCTGAATTACGCCTCTCACTGCAGTGAGCGGTGATGGAGTGATGGATGCTCTGACGCACTGACAGATTGTTATTTCCCACCTATGCTCCCTGTTGACATGCCGCCACAGCTCGTGCTTCTTATTCCATGAACTTTGCTTCTCCTCATGAGCAGCGAGGTCTTCTTATTAGTGGGAAGCTGCCAGTTACAGCATGTCCAGTACCAGCCAGTGCTATTAGCAAATCAACAACAAAAGTCTGCCGTCTGACGTCACCTGGTTCAGCTGCAGATTTGACCTGTTCCCTATCAATACAGTGTGGCCTGTTTCAATTATAGAAAACAAGATTGATTAGGAATCAGCAGCACACTGAAGTGCCGCGCATGGAGAGAGGTTTTCCATAACACTATGCTGAATCTCATTGGCAAGTGCACTTCAAATGGCAAAGTGGGCTACAGCTTATGATTAAATGGTCTGCAGGCGAAGCCTTTTTGTCTTCTTTTTTGTAGAGAGAGAGAGAGAGCTCTTTCTGAAGGCCAAAGTTAATGCAGTCATAGAAAGAACTCTGATACACTCCCACGTGAAATGGCCATGTGAGGAAAGCCCGCAGGGAGAAAAGGCCTTGAATGAATTTGAGAGGGAGAGAGAGAGAGAGAGAGAGAGAGAGAGAGTGGGAGGGAGGCAGATAGAGAGAAAGTTCAAACATTACTGATCCTTAAATATCCTTTTGGTTTCTGGTTCAATTGGAATTCGGCAGTAAGTGTCTGCTAAAAGCACCATTTTTGTTGCCCTTGCATTGCTGCTGAGCTTTTAGAGTTAGATGATGACAGATTGTGAGCTACCTGATATCCTTCATCATCCTCCCCAGTGGAGGTGTTTGTTCCGCCCCGAGCAAGTCCTCCAGGACTCACAAACAGCCGGCGTGTTTGATGGACTACGGGGAGACATCTGCTCTGCCAGGCTTTGCCATACAGAGTGAAAACAACGTGTTACAGTAATCAATCAATATGCAAACCTGTCCTTTCAGTCTGATGATTAACCTTACAGACCCCATGGTTATCAAGTCATTACATAAGCTTGTGATTGTGAATTAGTACTGAGGAGTTGTAGGGTGTGACTGTGAGAGCATGCTGTGTTTTCCTCAGGTTGGCATGTTGCTTTAAGCATGAATGCTCCATATATCCTCAACAGTATCGTCACAACTGTGCTTCAAGCACCCTCGGGGATGAGCTCTGTTGTGTGTACTCAAGGGACAAGAGGGAAAGAAAAAGTCTGCGCTGTGCAATCTGATTTGTGGTTATAGGCGTACCATCCCTCACAGGGTAATCTGGAGAATATCACCAGAGCCAAAAGATCCTTTGAGCGCCGTCATCCATTTTAAACTGCGAGTTGCTCATGTCGGCAGATGTGTTTGTGCATTGTGATGAGCTGATTTGAAATTGCCACTGGCTGATTTTAGCCTCTGAATATCCTACCTGCTGCAGACAGGTAGTTCCACAACCGGGGCCCCAGCAGTCTTGAGGGAGGGTTTGCTGCAAAATGATGCATGGCTGTTATTTTATTTAGTTATTTTACAAATTGATGTGCATGTTAATGTAAATTAAGCCTGTCATTATTTTACAAAATGGTTTCACCACCTGTAGTGCAGCTTTTTCCACCTGAATGATTTTCTCTCTCTGCTCTCTTTAGTGCCTCTAAATTGAATTATCTTCTCTCTCATCCTTTACCTCTTATTCTATCTCTTTCCTTGGTGCTTTGCTCTTATTCATTCTTATTCAATCATTTTGTGGTCACTTAGACTCTCATCTGTCATTTCTGATGTTGGACAGGAAGCCTTTTCTCCTGCTGCAGTCTCTGCGTATCACTGTAGGAGCATTAGGTAAATACTAACAATGTAAATATAAACAAACATACAAGTCAAAGAAGAGACATTTCAAACTGGGTCCGTTTTAACACAACCTCTTTAAACAGGGTCAAATGAGGATGTGTGAGGACCCTGCTTTACTCTGGTGTGAGTCTGACAACATGCAGGAGGAAATTATCATGCGAGGTGTCGGGCGCTAGGGGGCGGTGTCGCCTCCACCCCAAACCTCTGTGAAGACTCTCTTGAAAGCGGAAGTCGTTTGTCTTTGGTCAAAGCAACATGGTGTCACCCTGTAGACAATGTGAATGTAAACAGACGCACTCACCTCTTAATCGATAATTACTGATATATCAGCTGTAACACACCGGTGAGCGTCACCGCGGCTCCATGGCTCTCAGACTGTGGGCTCGGCTCCTCAGGGGCTCGGCCGTCCTCTCCTCGCGGGGCGTCGGCTCTGCTCGACAGGAAAGTGCGTCATGGCTCCTGACAGCGGGTCAGTACCAGGCCGGTTTCTGAAGCTCACTCATTTCTATCTTTTTTTTTTTTAAAACAAGGAAACGTGTTGTGTCGATAGTGAAGCATGGTATGAATCTAAAATGTGGAAAAGTGACCTTCAGCTCAGCAGCAGATTAAAGAGAGGACAGAGAGGCCACGCTGCTGTACGTCTGTGTCCGCTGACAGAACAAATCACACGTAATGACAAAGTATGAGGGAAAGAAGTTGTGTTTTTCTATTTGAAATGACACATTTACACCAGTGACTCTGTGTGTGAGCTGCTGCATCAGCCTCCCAAACACAAGTAATTTATCTTTATAAAATTCATCATTTTCTTTCCTTTTTACAAGAACATATTCAGATTTACTCAAACTTTCCTTTACTTGGATGTTTGAGATGTGGAGACATTTTTACATTAATCCAGGTCACTCACACTGAGAATTTAGGAGGAGACATCTTGTATCCAGAAGTTAACCAGGTGATAATGAACAATGTGTAAAAAATCATATATTATATATGTTTTTTAATGAGGGTGGAGGAGTAGATGTTTATGTCTGAAAACATTTCTGGAGGGGGTCCCCTGCACTACACCAGTGCATCTGTTTGAGCTAGGGTTACCTGTTTTCATTAGTGAAGTATTTGTTCACCTAATCAAATAATAGTTTTGCTATGAATTAAATATTAAAAATAGTCAAAACTGACCATCAAAGTTTTGCAGAGTCTAGAAACATGTCTTCAAATTGCTTGTGTTGTTCAACCAACAGGACGAACCTCAATGGTATTAAATTCTTACGTCATTCACTGTGGTATAAAATAGAGAAAATAAGCAAAAAACTACAACCAGGGAATTTTTGACCCTTTCGCCTTGATAAATGACTTTAGTGGGTAATCACCTCTTGAAATTATTAGTAATTTTCTGTCAATTGATGAACAAAACAAACAAATGAAATTTAGTTTACATTCAGTGTTTCTTGTTGCTATGTTTACTTGCTGGCAGTCTTGTTCTTCACATGGAGCACCACAGGGTTTGTTGGTGTGTTACCACCACTAACTCTTCATCAGCAGAATATATATATATATATATATATATTTTTTTTATTATTATTATTATTTTAAATTTGATTACTTTTCATAATTCCACAATACAAAAACCCAACAGTCTCCAAACAACATTAAACAGAGGAGAAAAGAAAAACAAGCAACTAATATATCAACTCCATACAAACAAACAAACAAACAAACAAACAAAAAGAAAGATAGAAGAATCAAAGTCTTTGTAGAATAAACATTAAAATAGTGTCCATGTGTTCACTTCTGTTGCTCCTTCACCACATCCATCCCTCCACATTCATAACTGCCACCCTGTGTATAAATAATAACATGGACAGTACCCTGAAATGGACACAAATCTGTCTCTTGTAATGAGAGAAATCACAGAGTCATTCCCCATTTATTGTATTGTTCTACCTCGTTTATCAGGCTGTGTGATATTCTTCCAAAACCCGCTGCTGAGATGACTGGCCTTCTGTAGCTTTCCACTTTCTAATTGTTTATCTGTTTGCTTGTCATGACACTGAACCCAGTTAGCTAAAGGTTTTACCGTATGTTTGATGGATTTATGGCGTCCAAGTGTACTTAGCTCCGGACAGAGTTTATAATCTATCCCTGCTATTTCTGTGATATATTCTGGTCCAAAAGGCTTGTATCTGTGGGCATGACTGTGCCATTTTTCTGTAATGTGAAACATTTATAGTAAATGTTGTGTGATTCCCAAAGGACTGCTCTGTCTGCACAAGTGCTCCAGCACTTTGGGATGAGATGTTTCTGTGATAACTTCTATGATAAACATTTTTGACAAGGACTTTTTAAATGCACAATAATACTGAGTCACTTTAACATCCTAGTAAACACAATGAGTCAGTTACCTTGCAGCGCTGCAGGCAGTGAAGTGATGGATATGTTGAATGTCTTTACAGGAAATGTTGCCTGCTGCAGAGGAGGGAGAAATGGATTTATCTTCACTCCTGCTTGTTTTATTACATCAGAGGCGTTTCTCAACAGACTGATGAAAGGCAATGCAGCAGAGGCAGACGGCAGCTTTTATCGCCTCCCAGCCTCAGTTCCGCCGGACAGCGGTAACCAGACCACCGCCTCAGAGATTTACATCCCTAAACTCATCTGATCATTCTGGCCCAGCCTTTTTTTCTTTTTTTTTTTTCAAATACTGCAGACGTCACCCTTCCACCAATCTCATGTTCCTGTTTTTACTGCTGTCATATTCACTTTTACTGTCTGTTTATTTTCCATTTTTTTTCAGGGGAACAACTGTCTTTGTTACTGAGACATCCAGATCAGCCTGACAACTCAAAAGTATTGAAAGTGGCTATAATAGGCCCTCCAAATGCTGGGAAGTCCACATTATCCAACCAGCTCCTCGGCAGAAAGGTCTCCGTCTTAACTGTGTCTCTTTTAATCCTCCACACTTTCATGTATCTGTCTCGCTGAGGCGGAGCTGCTGTTCACTGTCTTAAGTCGGTGCTCATTTTTTTCAAGGTGTTTGCCGTGTCTAAGAAAGTGCACACTACACGGTCCCGTGCACTGGGCGTCGTCACAGAGGATGACACACAGATAGTAAGAGCTTTTTCTCACGTCTCTCCTGATGCCTTTTAATACAAGTCCAAAGCCAAATGTTCAACTCAATGCACATGTTTTGTTTTTATAGATTTTACTGGACACTCCTGGTCTCACCACTCCATCAAAGGTTAAAAGGTGCCTTTCTGTTTTATATTCAAAGTCTGTAGTCTCCACACAGTCTTATCATACAGTGTGATGGATGAATGAACCCTCTGTTTCCACAGACACCAGCTGGAGAAGTCTTTGCTTGTGGATCCCTTGAACACAGTCAAAGAAGCTGACCTAGGTATTACACATACTCACCCTGAGTCATTTATTTGTAAAGTTGCTCTTTTTGCTGCTTCTGTGTCGTAGACTGAACATTAAGAGTGGACTATAATTGGAACTGTTTCCAGTGGTGGTGGTGGTGGATGTGGCAGACAGATGGATGAGCAGCAGGCTCGACTTTGAGGTGCTCAAGTGCCTCACCCAGCACCCAGACATCCCAGCTGTCCTGGTCCTCAATAAGGTATTCTCTATCAGATGTTGTAATAAAACTGAATTTAATGGATAAGCCTCAATGTTCAATATTTTGTGATTTGATAATGTGAAAATACCTGGGGCCGTGCCATGTGAAAAGCCACTGCAGCGAGTCTCAGCTAGCTTCAAGACATTTCACTTCTCCACCCGTATGAATTGGTCTCATAATGTCTCTTCACATTCAACCCTTTCATCACAGTCACAGCCTCTTGGCTAATGACACAAATGCATCAGTTTTGGCTCTCAGTGAAAAAAATATTCACCTGCCCACCGCTCCTGAAAGTGGCGCCCCTCGCCTGTCGACTTCACGCTTCTTTGCTGTGGCCATGACTGTTACCAAGCGGCAAATATGTGTTGTCTATTTATGAAAACATTAGTTCCACCTGCATTTGTAGACATGTCTGTGAATTGTAGGACAGCTGCCTTTGTGAGATGAACAGGAAAAACTGTGTGACAGGCCACAAGCATTTGAAATTGGACTTGACCAACTTTGGACATGCTTGTATTAGTTCATCTGTCAATACTGTCTGACTTCCTGTCTGTGGCCCATCTCAATGTAAATCTGTAGGTCGTGCATATATCGACCATAGACTGTAAATAAAGATGGACGCAGCCTCTGTGACGTCACCCTCAGGTTTTTGAAGAGCGGTTCTGAAGCTCAGAGTGAGCTGCTCCACCGTCGCCATCTTGGCAGTGTCTGACTCCGCCCCTAACTCCCAGCTATTCCGAAAATGGTCAAAGAAGAGGGGCTTGTGTGGAGCTGAGACTTCAGTGCATGTCAGTTTGTGTCAAGCATACGCTCGCCCACCTGTCACTCAAAGAGGCCACGCCCTCAATTATGCAGAAATTCTTAATAAGGCTTTAAAGTCTTACAGTTAAACATTTGCCATGAAGGAGGAAATTAGCTCTAGAAACCAAAAGTGTTTTTGTACCATGCTGTAAACATGTTTATTTCTGCTGCGAAATTGGACATTTTAACATGGGAGTCTATGGGGACTGACTCACTGTTGGAGCCAGACTCTAGTTGTCATTAGAGGAACTGCAGCTTCTGGTTCTTCAGTGTTGATGCTTCATGTTTCAGCCTCAGAGGCTGATGCCAAGAGTCAAGAGTAAAGGGGGCGGAGCCTTTTCTGTCAGGACTCCATGACTCTGGAACAACCTGCCCAATGAATTTTTTTTTTTATCTTGAATAATTTGCTTGCATTTATTTGTTGTTATTTTATCCTCGTGAAGCACTTTGTAATCTCTGATTTTGAGTCCTCTATAAATAAATTTTATTACTATTATTATTATTATTATTGTTATTATTATTATGAGACACAGGATTAAAACATACAGTATGAGGCTTTGAACTCTCTGGAAAAGTTTTCAGTCTTTTGCAGGGAAGAGAAAATCTTGGACTATCACCAGACTTTCTTTGAACATATTCTCCTGCACCGAGCCGTCTCAGAGCTCCTCACTAATGCTCCGCTCTCTTTAAGGTGGACCTGGTGAAGGCGAAGGACAAGCTGCTGGATATCACTGCGGGGCTGACATGTGGAATGGTGAATGGACGCAGGATACGGGTCAGGCCAGTGATCAAGCCTCCGTGGGCCAAAAAGAGGTCAGAGGGGGATTTGGAGCTCTCGCCTGACGAGCACATCGCAGAGCCTGAGGGCAGCGCTGAGCCGAACTCTGTGTTGAACAAAGAGCAGCTGAAGACACTGAAGAGCCAGGAGGGCTGGCCTCACTTCAAAGATGTCTTCATGCTGTCCTCTGTGGACA